GGGCTGATTTTTTTACCATAAATATAACTTATAGATATGTACAAGATAAGATACTTTTCACGGGATTTGGTGATACTTGTGTTTTTTTTGGGAGAGACCCCATGGAAATAGCCAATGGTTGAATCAAACACAGCACATTCTCATTGAGAATATTGACTGTTATGGCTTGGCAATGAATAAAAATGAATTTCTTTATATTTCTGATTATGAGAAACATCAAGTGAGACGATGGAGAATGGGAGAATATAACAATGAAGGAATTGTGGTGGCAGGTGGAAATGGTGCAGGAAATCAACTCAATCTACTCAGGCATCCTACTTTTATCTTTGTTGACGAAGATCAATCTGTTTATGTATCAGATTACAGCAATCATCGTGTGATGAAATGGATAAAAGATGCAAAAGAAGGAACAGTTGTGGCTGGAGGAAATGGTCACGGAGGAGAATTCAATCAATTGTATCATCCTCAAGGAGTATTTGTTGATGATTTGAGTCAAATCTATGTGGCAGATCAATTGAATAATCGAATAATGCGTTGGTGTGAAGGAAAAGAAGAAGGTGAAATTGTTGTTGGTGGAAATGGTTCAGGTGGTCATCCGAATCAATTAAATTATCCCCATGGTCTATCTTTCGATGATGAAAGAAATCTTTATGTTGCTGATACTTTTAATCATCGAATTCAAAAGTTTGAAGTAATTTTGTGAATGAAATTTTAATTTTTAAAACAAGAAAACAATTTTTCTGTTAAACAAAAAATTGAAAAATAAAATTTCGAGAAAAAGAAATTGAGGTGGGTTTGGATGTGGGTGTACGTATTATGTATTGATATTGTATCCATACCCATACCTATCCTCAGGACTTATGGATCGGAGAATAATATTTTAAGTAGAAAAAGTAAACTAAGCAGATCAAATAGTTTCACTTGTTTTATCTAGAGAAAACGTTTTTTTTAAATAGAAGTATGTGTGCACTGTTACATGCACACAGATCCACTTTTCTATCTTTTATCTATTTGAGTAGATGAGAAATAAAGTGTCTGTGAGTATCATTGCTATGCTCATTCTTTTTATCTTGCTCAGCAGAACTGTAAGTATCATTCACAATTTGAAATAGACAAGTTTCACATATGTGAAGATTTAGATATTTTCGAAACTATCAGTTTTCCTACAAAACAACTTGGAAACAGATGGAATATCGTTAATTACGCTTTTAAAGATGAATCTAAATTTGTATAGTGTCAGATTTATAAAATGGTTTTACGGTTTGTAAAATGCTAGGGAGAAGTTTCCAGTGAACAAAAAATATTTTAGAATAGTTTTAGATTTATCAATACTACCTATCTACTATAATTCTCTTATGGTTATTACTGTTCATGTCTTCAAACAATTATGATTATCGTAGAATTTCAATAACTAAGCTGTGAAATTTTCTTTTTTCACTTGCATCTTCATGATGTGAGTGTGGGTATATTGAGAAGAAAAAGGAAAACTTACGCCCACCCACCTATACCCACTCCTGTTTCGAAAGTGTTTTTTATTATTTAGTTGAAAAATTTTGATTTTTTAATTAATGAACAAGGTTGTATATTTCAAAAATATCTTATCAATAAGTACAAAATAAATATCTGATGCAAACAAAAATATAAGGTTATTTTTCTCGATATCACTAACAAAAATAAATTTGCTTTAATTAAATGTTAAATACTATGTAATCAAACAATATATTTTCTTAATCGGTGTTGACAACGAAATTGTTGCGAGAGTTTATTTATAGGATCCCAATAATATTCTTTTAGTCTGATATGTTTGTCCACTGACGATGACTGATGAAGAAAGCGTTGATGAACAACTAATCTGACAGAATTTTTCTTTTTCATAGTCAAATCATTTATCGTTGGGAAAGAAAATTTTTCCAATAAATAAATATGGACTTGAACAAAGAGCTATGGAAAATATAAATTGTTGATCTTCATGAGATAAAGATGAGTAATTGGAATAATTTGTGTATTCATTTAAATCAATACAATAACAAATATGATTTAAATAATACATTATTTTTCCAATATCAGTAAGTGAAATTTTGACTCTTTCTATTGAATTATCAATTGTAATTTGTTCTTAATTTTGAGGAGCGAACTAGAATCATCGAGGAAGTATTATGATTGCCCGAAAGGAAAAAGGTTGAAGAGCTAAATCTTGAAAACTCAAAAAACAACTAGTAGCAGTATATTACTATTGGAAGCCATCTTTTTTCATTCTTGAATGAAACTATCGTAGCTGACTGACGAGTTACTCTTTGGTGACATCTTCTTCTGTAGGTTATTACAGTCGCTTTAACAAAAGAATCCATCAACCATATTGAGGGGTGTATAAAGGAAACCGCCAATTACATTCCCATTCCAACTTACATTTACATTCACACCCTCAGGATGGATTCAATTAAAAATAAGGATAATATTCTTAAATAAAATGTGTATGTGTAAGTTTTGATATTTAGATTTAAATTAAGGTTAGAACGTAGAAAAGCTAATTACTTTTATAGATATTCTATAGACGTTACAGGAAATGTTACGCAGCATGTGTCTGACATTGAATAATTTATACGATATAGAAGCAACTGTTTATTTATTTGCAACAAATACAACATCAAACACAAGAAATTTTTTTTGTATTAACAACAACAATAAGTCAGTTTTAGTTCATGTTCTACACGTTCAAACAGCAGTATTACATTTTGTCGCCTCGAATAACGTTACTCGATTACCATTATGACGAGTATTATATGCTTGAGTTTGTGTGACATGTATGGTTACGTTATTATCATGATGTTTTAATTTGAGTATTCGAAAGAATTTTACACGATAAACACTACTAGAAAGAGTATAAAGAAAAAA